ACATGCAGGTTGGATGGGATTGTGCTTGAAGCCCAAACCGAGAGCCAGTTGGGCCGTTGACATTTTTCAAATTTTTTCAACAAATTTTGGAATTTTCCCAGGCCCATTTCTAAGTATTCCCCGATTTTGCAAGTGATAATAATAAGGTTAAATACCCTTTTTGGTCCCTCTACTATAGGACAAAGTCTTTTTTTGGTCTCTGTACTGAAAAAATCTCTTTTTTGGACCTTACTGTTCATAAATCCGGCCCCTTTTTAGTTCTTCCGTTAAATTTTGGCTGATGTGGCAGGTTAATTAACGGAAAAACTCATTTTGTTTTTTTATTAAATTACATGAAAAATCCATCTGGCAAAAAATGATGACATGATTAAATTTTTTACTTTTAATTATTGATTTGCCCTCAAAGATTGATGACATGGTAAAATTTTTTTGTTTAATTACTAATTTACCCTCTTCTTTCTTCCCCATCCTCTCCTTCCTCCGGCTTTTTCTTTTTTTTCTTTTTCTCCTTTTACCTCTAGGCGAACCCAGCTCGCGGGTTCGCACCTAGGAGCTTGGGTTCCTCGCGAACCCAGCTCGTGGGTTCGCACCCAGAAGCCTGGGTTCGCGAGGTGCGAACCCACCTGGGTTCGTGAGGTGCGAACCCACGAGCTGGGTTCGCACCCACGAGCTTGGGTTCCTCGCGAACCCAGCTCCTGGGTTCGCGAGGTGCGAACCCACCTGGGTTCGTGAGGTGCGAACCCACGAGCTGGGTTCGCACCCACGAGCCTTTTTCTCCTTCATATTAACACTGGTTGGTTCATTTTGTTTGTTCGTTATGGCTGCCTTTTAGGTTTTGCGAACCCAGGCTGTTGGGTTTGCCTGGAGGTAAAAGGAAAAAAAAGGAAAAAAAAAAGGCTAGAGGAAGGAGAAGCCGGGGAAGGGGAAAAAGATAAGGGTATATCAGTAATTAACAGTGGGATTTTCCACGTGGATTTAGCATGTCATCAATTTTTTTCACGTGGATTTTTCACGTAATTTAATGAAAAAAAGGAATGGGTGTTTCCGTTAATTAACCTGCCACGTCAGTCAAAATTTAACGGAATGACTAAAAAGGGGTCGAATTTGTGAACAGTAAGGACCAAAAAGGGGATTTTTTCGGTACATGGACCAAAAAAGGGCTTTTTCCTATAGTAGAGGGATCAAAAAAGGTATTTAACCTAATAATAATAATACTTTCTCAATTTCAAAATAAGATCAAAACTCCTATTTGCATCTTACACATATTTTTTTTTACAGTTAATACCTTAAATTATTTTTGTTCTAATCAACACCCTCCACTACTCAAAATCCATGAAAAACAAAAAAATTTACGATCAAACCCCTTATTTGTACTTTGATTTTGTAGTTAAACTCCTTATTTGTACTATGATTTTGTTGGTAATTTGAGGTTTTTCATGAGTTTTAAATTATGAAAGATGTTGATCATGATAAAAATTAGTTTAAGGTGTTAATTACAAAAAGAAAAAGTGTGTAAGGTGCAAATAGGGGGTTCACCCTTAAAATAACAGTTTTTTTTTAATCTTTTTTTAAATTAAGAATATAAAAATAATTTATATATTTATTTATATTATTCTTAAAAAATAATCAAAAGATAAAGAGAGATATTTTGTGATAAGATAATTAATCAAAATAAATGGATAATGGTGAGTTTAAATTACAAAAAAAAAAAGTAATTTGCCTTAAAAAATAAAAATTATACTCCCTCCATCCTAAAATGGCTGTGTTTTTTTTTTTACTTGTTCTCAAATTAAAAATTTAGAGACAGTTTATTAATTTATCTCTATTACTCTTAGGACAAAACTAAAGATAAAGAGATATATTTTGTGATAAATACTTAATTAAAATACATGGACGATAATAGGATAAGAATAGGAAAAAAAATATCTGTCTACCTTAAAAAATGAAAAATGACAATAAATTTAGGACAAACAAACTCAAAGTAAAAAGCAATCATTATTTTGGGATAGAGGAAGTATTTGTCTACCATAAAAAATTTTAAAAAAATGACAATTAATTTGAAACAAATTCTAACTCAAAAAACGATGACGAAATGAGTAACATAAAAATGAAAATTAAGACATAACATTAAAAATGTCAAAATATTCAATTTCAA